CTTACGTAATACTTAATTACAGCATAAAATTCTCTTCTTGAGTGTTGGAATATTTCTTGTAGATCACTACATTGTGTTTAGTTGATTAATTTCATTGGCACATGTAGTTGTGAACGACTGTTTTTTTTCTGTACGTTCTTATGTTTTATAGTTATTATAATTTTACTCGTATATAGTAATTTAAAAAAGTTATTTCGGTATGTTGTACAATCTTACTAATAAAACAAAGAAGTAAGAAATATATGATTTATGTCTTAAGTCTTATTTCTTAGTAAATAATCACAAATGACAGACGATGTTTTGTATGTTTTTATTATATTTGGATTCGGGAGAGTACAAATATCCAGACAGAATGGAGCGGCAGCCAGACAATCCCATCAGCTTAATATCCGTTTAGTCTAAAGGGATAAAACAGGACCGTAGACATTCCGTTGGCATTATGTAATAATTCCATCCTTAACAAAGTTATGTGAATACGTTATCAGCGTAATAATTATGTGTTTATTAAATAATGAATGCCTTGCTGATTAATACTGATACTTGAATGTTGGAAATTAATATAACCGTTTTAAGTTATCGACGTAATTAAATCATAATTTAACATATTCGTCATCAATTACATATGTTTCCTTAGAGTAGGAGTATTTTAATATTTATAAACAGTAACTAAATACAAGAAGTAAGCAATCGTACGTTCAAAACTTGTACCTATATATTCGTTGGCAAGTACCGTACGTACGTACCGCTACGCTTTTGTTTCGGCATATCACCAGAGGGCGTACTTGTCGCATTCTACTGTTTATCACACAACGCCACGCCAGTTCTACTTGTTTTAAATCCATTACAAAAGAAGTTTGCACTGCTGGTGTTTTTATTTTTTTCATGCATCTCATAATGTAAAACACTTTACACGAAAATACTTTGGAAACATTAAATTTAAATTTTGTGGGGTTTTTCCTAACTTTGTTTCCTCAATGAGAATGGGAGAATTGACAAGTTTTCCAGCAGTGAAAACACACGGACATCGTCAACTTTTTAATATAAATATGTCGAAGATCCTAATTTGTTTCGACATTTAACAATTACAATTATTAAGCCATACGCTTTTATTTCGTAATATGAACGCAGATATCAATCATAATTTAAATAAACTTGGTAACGTACAGTCAGTAACAGTTATAAGTCATACGAGATAAACAAGTTGGTACTAACGATTCTTATCTAATAATTATTTCACTTGTCACCACTGTCAAATACACTTACATGATGGATTGTAGCAATCAATACAGACAGACAAACCAATTGGACAGCGCCCGGCATTAGAGGGCTTCTAGCAATTAATCTAGTGCGTCACTCCCATATATTAGGTACTTAGAAATTTAACGGATACATAGTCATATTAACCAGACATTGACAAGCATTGAGAAAAAGGGCGGGAAGGGAAAGTAGAGTAAATTAGGCCTCCGGGACGCACACTCATCAGACGAAACGCGGAATTACTTCCACTTCACGCCTGTCTTTTGTGTGGTCGTGGTATTTCACCGGGCGAGCCGGGCCGATTCGTGCGAAGATGTTAAAGCGGGCTTTACCACTGTTAAATATACATATAATATTCCTCTTTATAATATTAGTGTTGATGTATAACATGAACATGTATACGAAAATTAAATTTTTCAAAAATTTAGCAAGTTATAAATTTGGAAATAGTAAAAAATACCAATTCACTATTAAATCAAGAGTAAAATATAACACACATATAAATATAATACACATAAAGGTTAAAACCTTGAAACTAAAATAAAACCTAGTGGGAAAGTGTTCACACGCTCAGATTTTCATTTAAATAGTTTGTAATCACATCAGAGCGATGACCTGGAAATAATTGCTTAATGGACCTGAGTGTTGAGCTTCATATAACACGAGCCCTGGGAATGCTTTGCCTAGAAAAATCTTACTTAAAAAAAACTATGCTAAATATAATATTGCGTATAAAAATATTTTTAAGAGTACATAAATGTGGACGTCATGCCTAACGATATATTAAGTTGTATAACAGACGGTATATTTTCAGTTTGGATTTGGATGTATTATAATTTAGAGCCATTTCTAACTTTCTAATTCAAACTTTATTACGAAAACATTAAAGTTCGGATTCAACTGATGGGACATCATCCATGACTTCTCACAAACACACGCTGGGCAATAAACAATATCGTCAACATGATCCGTCGTCAAGTTTATGAAATCGCGCCTATGTTTTAACATCAAGCACAAAGCGGCCGCGATTGATCCACTGCACGTTGGCCTCTGGCCAAGTGAAGCCACTTCAATACACTTTACACCAAGTTCACAACGAAACAAACAAATCTATACGTTTTGTTAAGACTCAAAATGTGAAATCAATGGAATATTTTGACGTAAGCGGTTGATCATATTTTTTATTATATAACTTTTTAATTCATCGATCATATGTTTCAATTCAAATAAGATTTTTACAGACATATAGAAAGATGAAATATTAATACGTTCATATGTCAGACTGTATACATGAAAGATAAACAGAAATACATTATTGTGGCATTGTTTGAAGTTGTATATGTTTTTGGAAAATCGGGAGTTTAAATTTGCCAGCGCATATCAAAGTTATGCGTAAATATCCGGCGGCTAAATATGAGATTCGACTCATCCTGCGAAACAAAAAGATAATCTACCAACAAGCAATCATATAAAATAATATGAGTAAAATACGAATTAACTTAATTAAATCATAACCACAAATAACATTTTTAAATAGCGTGTTCAATTTATTTTTACTTGCAATTCAAAATTTTTAAAGTACCAAGTTTTTTTCTTTACGAAAAAACAATCTAATGTCCCGGATCAAAAGATTCGGAGACCTCCGAACTCGTCTACCGTGAATCCAATTTTTTATAATGCAGCAGGTAAATAATTCCTACGTGCTATAAAATTAACTTGTCAAGAATACGGTCGAAACACCATTCCACATTAATATTGTAGCATCTTTTATGAATATAAAATATTTTTATATCTGTAACGGATTGATTTATGAAGATTACATTCCATTCCACGTTAAGTGATTATAATACAAATTTGGATAAAATATTAGTTTTTTAAATTTGATATTCAACATGTTACTTATAAAAAAAACATTACGTCCATCAATATCATGGTTACAAATACAAAAAAAATAAATCCATTTATATTCGTTGTGAATTAATAGTTCGTGTCTTTTTATTATTTTATTCAAAGTTAACACTTAGTTAACTTTTTAAAGTGAATTAATGTTTAAAAGGAGGATCAATTAGGTCTGATATTCCAATTGCGGATTTTATAATTGAAGCTGGATCTTGTTCGGCAGATGACCTATTGAATGGATGAAAGCTATTGAAATTGTAAAGCTGCCTTCACAAGCGGACACAGGCGAGTGGAGAGCGAAATGACTGCGCTTAATTAACTTGTATTCATACTTATTTACAACTCATTACCAAGCTCGAGGCCTACGTTCAGCAGTGGGCGAACTAAAGCTGATAATGACCAAGCTCGATATGATAAATATAATAAGAGTTAATGATTAATTGAAATTGACTTCGACAACATCGAGCCCTTGAATGTCAATTTGAACTTAACAATATTCCACTTTCATTGACTTTTTAAGTCGTTATCTGGGTATTAAAATATGTATAGTACTAACGACCTGCCTCGGTTTCGGCAATATCTTATTGGTATGCACATATATTTACAACAATGTTTTAACCCTTTCCTGTCAATTCTAGTATCAAAAACTATTGAACGACCGAAACAAGTTTTTTTACCCTAAACCCTCCACTTTTAATTTTAAGAAATTTAAAAATGATCTAATATATATAGATGTTAAATACAATTAAGCAGTGTGTGTATCTAAATTTTAAAGTAAACTTACGGGATACCATATAAATCACACACAATCTTGTAAGATACAAGTAAAATCACTCTATAGTTTCATTAATTACCTTGTATGTCGTAAATAAAGTAAATCAGCGCATTTTCGATTACTTTACAAACCAATAATCGCATGAACAAAGAGTTGTAAAATATTAATTGCCAATTCACTGCACACTTCTTATTGTTTACGATTTAACGACAGCTACATACATAAGTATTAAGATTTCTCGATTTTTAATGACATACATTTTAATTATTTTTATGTTTTAAACATTTTATGTCTCATTATTATCTATTTGTATCAGTTATATTATTCCTTTGACGCAAAGAAAACAAGTTATAAGCAATTTCAAATAACTTATTTCAGACTTCAGCCTTTTTTCAATAACATCTTGTACTCATTAAATCATTCGTTTACAAATCGCCACAAGTATAAATCCTTGTCTCTCACATACTCACGGGACATAATTTGGATTTGATAGCGACTTAAGTAAAGTTACTACGTGCCGACATTCTAAGTTATAACTAAATTATATATAAGCGTTTATGCGTATTCACTTTGAAGTCCCATTAAAACGCGTACGGATTTGCGTTTACTTAAGAGCTTTGTTAACATTCAGTAGTTAGATAACAAAGGATTTGTATGTATGTACGTAATATGTATGACGTAATTTTTCATAAATTACATCTTTTTGACTCCGTGTGATTTTGTAGACGTGTCTCATGGCATGGTATGGAAAGTAATTAGTGAGCGATAACATAGAGTATAATGAGAAGATCGTTTCGTAGACGATAAAGCAAAGAAAAGGAATTTCTTGAATACTATTCATATTAACTTTTAAAAAGAATTGAATATATGTAGCAGTGAGAGGATAAAGATGTAAATGTCACGTTTGTTTGTGCTGATATTTTATTGATCAGTGTCGTATTGCTGGATTTGGATGTAAGCCAACGCTCTTGTTACTCTCTCCAAGATGGTAATACTGCCAAGTATAAGTAGTCGTAGTTGCCGGCGCGTTGTGTGCTTGCGGTTGTGTGAAAGCGATCGTATGACTCACCTGACTTGCTCATGCTTCTGTATGTAGATCTTGTGGAACTGTCCCTCTACAGGCGATATGATGTCATTCTTCATCTCCATTGCCACGTGTTGAGGCAGCACTGATAGCAGTAGACGTTCCTGTAATTAATTATTTCGTTAGAAAATTTTAAAACTGGACGTCTATTGTTTGACATATCATCTTTGTTCTATGTTTTGGAAGTTATAAGCAACACTTAAATGATGTGATTAGAAAGAAGAAAGAAAAGTTTTTATTATAGGTAATACAGATTAAACCAAGAAACAATAACTAACATAATAAAATCGCACATAACTAAGAAATTAAATTAGACTTAAGTTACCATATTTCCAGCGGGTATTAAATAACAAACATTGTTTGAAGATGACAAAGTACAGTGAGGCGATAAACTACACTCATACAGGAAAGCATGAGTAATATGTAAAAGAAAATTGCAATCCTCATATATTTACTGCTTTGTATAAAGACGTTTATTTGATCAATATCGACGAGATGGTGGAATTAGCTTATGCAATTTGCATGCACACTCCCTACAAAACATCCTCAGAAAAACAATGCGTAACTAGGCATTGCATGACCTCAAAATGCAATAGAATTTTCTGCGAATAATAAAATTTCCATAAAGGAAAATGAAAATCTATACCTTTTTGTTTCTATAAGTACGCAATTTGTAAAAACTAAACTTTTTTGTACCTACTTTGTTAAATTCATAAACTTGTTTGCAGATAAAATTTTACTCCTAAAGACTCCGATTATAATTTAACTTAATTATTATATGTTGACGTATATAAATAACGATTTATGTAGCTGTGAAGGCAATATGGAAGGTATTGATTTCATGTAATCGAAGGCGACGCGGCGATATCCTAACTTTGTAAGGCGTGATTGATCCCGGCATGGGATCAGCGGGGATCGGTTACGGCCTGAACCGTTAATACGAGAACAGTTACGGCCCGTGTGCAGAACATATGTTACACTAATATTATATTCACTTCAAAATAAATATATTAACACTATATTACTTGCTTACCAAATTATATTTTGCTTTTATGTACTAAACAAGCTGGCGCCCGAGACTCTGTCCGCGCGGAAAAAAATCTTAATTAGTAGTCTATGTGTTTTTCCAGACAATGACTTCATCTATGCCAAATTTCAACGAGAACTATACAGCCATCCATCCATCCGACCAATATATATTTGAAGTCTAGAGATTGTTTTTTTTTACCTACTGACATTGTAATCGTCTTTAACTAATGGAAACTAGTTCTAAACTTAATCATAACAGAAAATCGTTTTCGCTTCCTGAGGGAATTTCATAACGATACAGTTTCTTCATACTTAATATGTAACTAAGTTGGTAAAGAAAGACGTCGGAACTTATACATTATATAAGTTAAACAAAGACATGAAGGGACATTTAAACACGAAAGCTAATAATTTATGTCTAAAAATGTTCGATTTGAAACTTATAATTGAAAAATATATATATTAAATATTGTTTTACCTGAAATAACTTATATTTTTAGTGCAATTTGTGAACTTTTGTTTGAGTTAACATTGGATTCTGAGACCAAAATCTTTGTATAAAACATATCTATCTAAAAAATTAAACTTAACTACTGTCTCATCTCATACTCGTTTATAAGTACCAAAGTGTCTGGACAAACCCGCAATGGGTTTATAGACACTTTTATTATAAATTTCTATATTGTTTCTTGTTGATATAAATAAACAAAAAAGTATAATAACAAAAAAATATTGTCATCTTTGACAAAACAGAGATGTTTTAAACGAGGGTTTTGGTCTCAGAAAGGCATGGTTAGTGTAGTGTACCAAAGGTTGCTTTTATATGTAATGGGAGTCATGGCTCAACGGCGTGATCAATAGCTCACCTTTACACAATATTGTTGTGACGAGGAACCTCTATTGTTCTAAGAAAGGTTGAATACATATCGGTGCAATATCTAACCTAAGTTCTTTTGTTTTGAATCGTAAAGAAAACAAGAGAGCAAAAGGATCACGATATTTTGTAAGAAATGATTAAGACGTCATAATCTTGTGTTTTTTCCGTAATAAAGGCACCGGATCAATAGAAAAGACTAGAAAATATTTTAAATTTATACAAGATATCGTTTTGTTTAATTCTTGTATAAATAAAAGAAAAGCTTTCCAAATGTTCCAAATGATGCGTTGTTTATAATTGACTTGTGATATTTCCTAAAGATGCCTTTAGTTGAGATAGATAAAATATTAATAAACACACAGGAAATAGTAAAGTGAACATATTATGGAAAATGCTTGAGTAATTAAAGTGATACATGATATTCCTATGCTTCAATAGTAGCGCGATAATTGCCGCCATAGTGATATAAATGTTTACTCGTTGACGTCACTTTATGTCTAACAAAGCCGAGCCCATATTGCATCACCCCTTCAAATTGGTATAAGCAAAATAAAATCGATCTTTTATAGTTGCAATCCTAAATATGACTACGAATATTTACATAACTGAAGGCTCGTTTATAATTTCGGAGAACTGAAATTAATCACGAACAATACGAGCTCAACGTCTTTAGTATTTTTACCATCTTTGACAACAAATGTAGAAGGAAATGGTAAGAGACTGTAGACAGGATAGGAGACTGATAACTAACAAAACAGAAAAATGGACGGGGGACTGATACATTGTTAGGACCTCACTCTTGCGACATTACACCTCTAGTCTAGCAGATAAAAGATTTACATATAAGTTATATGTACGTTACCAATTTTTCGTTTTCATCCTCCATGTCTAGGCGCGCGGCGATGCAGTTGCGGGTGTCGAGGAAGGCGCGCCGCTGTGCAGTCTCCATCAGGGAGTGCATTAGCGCGCCCACCACGTTCACGCATACGAACACCACCACGTTTGCCACCATCTGCAACAAAATTATTTGGTAGTACTGCCATGGAAACTACGCAAAACATAATGGAAACTAAACGAAAGTGTTCCTGTATTTAAAAATGTCATGTTAAACTTAGTAAGTGTGGAAAACCTGATCTGAAGGTTATTTCTTAATTTTACAATACATTTATAACATTTTTAAATGGTCGTATTTGTTGAACATGCAATTGGTGTACCTTTTTAATAAATAAATAAATAACGTAAACATAGATCATCTATTTTTTTTAAATGACTAAATTTATTGTAGATCGCCGTTCAGATATAACGAAGTTTTCATACGAAATAGCGGATAAATCTAAATAACTTTATGGTAGGATAACGTCTATCCGTTTAATAAGGCAGAGTAATTAAATAATCTGTACTTATAATTAACACTTCAAATAACTACATTGACCTCGCATTACAGGAGCGTGCCTGCGAATGCTAATTGTTGTATTTTATTTTAAGTACCGACATACCTTTTGGATAAGTGTTACTTACATCATATTTGCGGACTTGGACATTGCAAGTTTAGTATGTCCTTAAGAGGAAGCCGCATTCGATATAAAAAATTGACATCACCATCAACTAAATTTAAATCGCCCACGAACTGTTACAAACAAAGAACTTTATTAATGCGTGTTAGAGTCTAGTTTTGTTTGAACAATAAAATTCTAGCAGCCGTTAAAAATGAATAATTCACGACATTTTATCATTGCAAATATCTACGACGTAACAAAATGGCAGTTTATAAAAAAGCGCGCCAAATGGAACGCTATCAATCAGCGTTACGAGAAAATGACATACGATACTAATGCACTAATCGTTTCGTAGTTACATAAGAAAAATCTTAAGCCAATAAAAATAGACATGTTATTGCGTCTTACTTCGACAGCTAGATAACTACGTAGCATGCATAAAACGTTGAAAATTATACCAGGGACGTTTAGTGGACCAAAATGAAACGCTTATAACCAATTCAATATGAACAGTACAATTTATTCCACAAAGTTACGGATGTGTTTCCCCTTTCCTTTTATTTCCGTAACATTTTCCTTATCATTTATAGTACAGTTATATGTTTATTTGTTTCAAACTGGATTAAAAATATCGCATGCGCACTGCCAAGTGGAGCAGAATGTATTTGGCTAACGAAATGTACGAAGCATGCTATAAATTATTTCGAAAATCAAAATATAACATTACTGCTTCAGTCATGACGTATTATAAGGAAAAACCAGAATCATAAATAAGATTTTTAGTATACCATAAACATAACCAAATAAATGTGTGGTTCAAATATTTTTATATAAAATTTCTATCGTTGTAATTGCTAGAAGTAATTTTATAAAAAGTGAGTTCTTAAAAAGTTTCTTATTTTACGTTAGAGGACGTTTTTACTTTTCTCAATTCGTAACGAATCCGAAACTAACGGATGCCTGTCTGTCCTTTAGAAAGTTTGAAAAGAAATGGATTTTCTTGAAGAACGTAAACAATTTCTAAATCATTTCACAAAGGAATACCGCCTGAAATAAATAAACGAAGGGACCAATTTCAGTTGATGAAAGTTGCGTTTTATTTACAAGCAATTTTGACACTGAAAATTGTACCTGTGAACTTAGCTCAAACATTTGTCAAAAATAATCGACAAAATTTGTATCAAACAGTCAGTGCAGTCCGTAATCCGTCCGTAATAGATCATAGGCATTGTAAAAATCTCATACTAATTTTGGACATAATCGATGAGACGATAAGAAGGCTATTGCCGCAAATATTAATGGTATTCGTAAATTTCCACTGGTCTTTGCCTCGTAATTCTTGTAAAGTATCGAAAAAAAAAGTTATCCTAGAAAAGAAATATCAATAGATCTTATTCGATATAAAAGCCTGTATTGCTCAATCGTTCTATCGACATTGTATATCATAAAGACAAGGATAAATCGACAATCAATAGATACCATCTATGTGTATTATATTAGTCAATCATTCACATGTCGCCAAAAGTAAAATATTATATTACATTTGTAAAAGTTGAAGTATACAAAGAAAACAATATTTATTGGTAAATAATATAATTAAACGATCTTCTGTAATATAATCTAGCAATAGAAAATGATATGTACTAGGTACGGACGTAAAAAACATTACTCCGATATTAATAAAAGGTAAATGGTCTCGTAATACCTTTATTGATTGTAGTATGCCAGTGAAAAGGTTGCGGTTAATATATTTATAGCGTTTAAACGATAACCGACGAGGTAGAGCATCGTATTATGTAGTTTTCACGCGAGGACCGAAAAATGGGGCAGAGGAGTAGACAGTGCAGAATTGGTATTATATGAATCTACACTTACCGTAGAACTCCACTGCCATGACACTCGTATTGACTTATCCTAGTAATCCCTTTAATTATCTTTGACCAGACTAATAAATATTAATAATACACCCAAGTGGAAATGTACTGTTCTATATCAAGATATAGGTAAAATAATAACAGTACTGCTTTGACTACTACTCTGTCTTGTTCTACTCTTGTGTGAAACTAGCATTATGTAAAAAGCGCGTGTCCTCTTGCGCTACCGAGCCTACACGCTTCACACGCCCCTCATTTGAATATTCCTGAGATTGACGTAAATTGCAAATATAAAATTTATAATGTTCCCACGTCGCTATATAAAATATTATGTGGCCTTCTCATGCAAATGTACTTAAATCTATATCAATATAATGATAAGTTATTATTAATGTATATTCTAAAGTAAATATAGTGGTGATACAAGACAAAGAAAATCCTAGGTGCATGAAATAACACTTGCAAAAATATCAGTCGAAAGATGTCTTTTAACTTCAAATATACGGGCGTATCTAAACACGTTTTTACTTTGAAGCGTCATATTTCGACTGCCAAAGTTCTTTGACAAGCAATACCAGTATTAGTTTTGTAATTTATAAAATTGTATTTTCACACTAAGAAGCAGATGTTACTGGCATGTTTTCCTTTTAAACTTAGTAGAGTATTAGTTTTGCGACTACAATTGTATTACAAAGTTTAACAGTGAGTAATGTATATAAATAGTGTTAGTAAATACTGGAAACATGAAACAAAATAGAAGCAAATAGAAGAGTAATATAAAATAATTCTCGAAATCAAGAACGATTAAAGATTCGATTCGATGTAGAAGCCAGTCTATGATAGGATTCGATTGCATGTTATTCGAGTAAGCTTATTTGTCACTATTGGTGACGAATTGATGTCCCTGATCCGTTTATATTATTTCTGTAATTACGCTTTTTGTTAATAAATCTTCATGATGTTTATACCATTTTAGACAAAAGCTATACATACTAGATTTTATACAACTAGTTCTTTTATTTTTGCTTTTTTTGGGTGACGCTTAACTTACAGTTCCCCCTAACATTTTTTTAAAAACAGGCAAACTTTAAAATGTACATAAAACTTAGAATAATAATAAATATCACTACTACTATTACAACGTTAAAACACTAAAAGGTCATTTTAGTTAGTTTTAAAATGCTGAAGATAAAATTCATGGACATTACATTTGTGACATTATTAGTAAGATGTTATAATATTTAAATTTGAATAGGAATATTAAGCTTATATCATATTATAAACGAATTATTTATTTGAGTAATTGGTATTAAATAAGTAATTCAGCAATAGGAATAATGCGATAATAAGGTGCGAGCATGTTGGCAGCAATTAGACAGGTAGGAGCGTGGGAGTCAGATGAATTATTCACTTTATTAACGTACCTTATATTATGCCAACGACATTTACCTCGCAACAATATTCATTAAACGAGGGACGATATCTCAATTACTTCTTAAAAGTTACATGCCTTATTTGTAATAAGTGATCGCGTATCTCTTTTTAGTTAACACATTCAGTGCCGCCGACTCTTTCTACGAGTTCAGTTAGGAAGTAGTAAAAGTATGTAAAAATGGTAGTGGCATTTGTAGTGTTAATAAATCGAGTAAACGTATATAAATATTTTTTCACTTTTAGGTTTTGGTTTAAATCATTCGTTTTGATTTTTTTTATGTTATCTATGTTGCGAATTAATGCATGCGGGCAGCAGACGTATCACATTTATTTATAGAATAGACCCACATGCAGCGGTTATATTGGGCTAATGGACATACATTTAACATTTTCACAGAATTTACTAACAAATTTATATTGCCCTAATTATGAAAGTAATCCATGAACCAATATGTAACATTTAATTCGTATTTAGAGTTATTAACGGGAATCCTTAGATATAATTTTGTGAACAAATTTCACTGTCATAGTAATTTTCAATTGAATCACTTAAAATACTCTGGGTACGGCATCAAATAACAAAGATAAGAAAAGTAATTATATTAAGTTACTGTATAGAACATTTTATATGGTTTTTCTGAGCACAGATGACGTGCAAAGATAATCTCTATATTTTCAAACGTGCGCACAAGAAAGCGCAGTTGTCGAACCGCATTTGCAGGTTAAACGGTTTGCGAGACATGTTTATTAGTGTACTAGTCTACAGGTTATACTTTCTGATGAACTTGCTGATAATGCAGCTAGTGAAGGGTTATATAAAACATTACTTTAATATTATTTTTTGTTTACAAAGAAAACGAATAGGATTACATAAGACAAGAGAGTTGGGTCAAATTCAATTGTTTTAAGGTTTTTTTTTAAGCTGTCCAGAAGTGGATTAACATTGTCTATTAAAACGTCTAAGTATCTTTAAAACTAAAAACTAATATTATAGAATTAAAAAAAATACTTAAGAATACATTTGCTCGGGGCGCTTTGAAGATTCAATTTCCCGCACAATCGCAATTCACTTGTTTCATAGTCACCAAAATAAAGCAGTATATACAGTAGGCAGATAAGTTACCCGTACGATTTCAGATCAAATAAATTCAGTAAAACGAATATTGCTATTTCCATACGACGCTATCGCATTCGTTTGAAGCTACAGCTTTACTACATCCAATGTTCTTTAAGTTAGGCGGCTAACTGACGGGACATGTTTAACTCGCTTACAGCAGTTTCTTATTTATCCGAGGTTAACTGCAATTTATTTGCTTTTTACACCATACGTTTTAACGAGTGTAACTTTCTAGACATATTAAAATGTGTATAAGTAAATAAAAAATACAGCTTTAGTGCCGTTGCTGATGTAATCGTTATTTAACTTGATGTGTAAATAATATAAAATTCTCCTTTTGGTTTTATTTTGTAATTGCAAGCGAACAGTTCTGTCGAAGCAACTCGTAAAGTTAGAGGCGTGTTTTTCCATATTTTTTTATTCCAGCCATTCGCCATCCAATTTCCGCTGAAGCATACATTTTGCAATATGTTCTGCACATCTCTGAATATAAAATCTTATATCTGTGAAGTCTGCAATATAGAAAAGCTCTGGTGAACGTATCGAAGGAGTTTTCTTAACAATAGTAAATTGTTGCATATGATTTCATATGTTTGTAGTTGATATCAAACTAAAATTAATATGGAAAAAAGAAAAAAAAATAAACAAAAATTAAAATGCTTTCAGTAAATATTTGTACAAAATATAAAAAGTCTAGAAATAAAAACAAAGTGATATGTCACCGCGGTTTTCTTCTTATCTTTCTCAGATGATTAATACATTTTATTAACTAAAGGTTGTGGACCTTGAAGTCAGACAAATACACTGTTAGTTAAACTGTACTCTTGTTACCAAACAGAATTTAAATCATCGTCTATAAGCATGTTGGAGTCGCACTGTATCTCTAAAGTCGTATTTTACTTTTATTTTTATAAAAAATAAAAGTAGGAAACTTAAAATTTGAATGTAGTAAAATATTTTTATAAATTCAGCAAAAACATTATGTTGTGTACATTTAATGTTCTTTGGCTTGCATATTTGGCTTCTAAATTAGTAGTAAAGTCACGAAAGGATAACTCATAGTAACATTTACATCTAACTTATACCGAATTTCTTCTACCTCTGAAAATTGCCACAAAATAATGATACCAAATCCTTTAACTCATAAATTATTTTACTTGACAGCAATGCCTCCAAACTTAAATTATAAATAATTGCTTCGCTGTTTCTCAGCTAAGCGTAGAAATAATGATAATAATAGAAATGCATTTAGGCTTTTAATTAAAAATTACGTCCAAGTGCCGTATATCCACTTTACCAAATGATATTTTCCTAGTGACATTGTTAAAAAAATATGAGTATTGAAATCAGTCAAACCAGTGACATGCAAAGTATGGAAAAACCCAGGAATATAGAGATAAAATTCCCTCTTTGCATTGAGGTTGAAAACATTATTGTAATGGAAATGAGAGGTGAGGTCGCACGCAGTTACACTGAGTACTTTAGCTGCAGGTGCCGGCGGCGCGCTGAAATGAAAAACAAGGATGACTACACATCGCTTTGTAGACAGGAACGCCGCCCGCGATTATGGGAAAAGTGCGTGAGTTATCAACATTACGAGTGATTCAAATGTTTTTAATAGAAAATTGTGATCGCAATATTTTTTTACACAAAATTTAAACAAAAATCTTTGTTTAACATTTACCGCCAAATTAGGAGAAACAATTGCTAAACGACAAATGAACAAATGAATTAAACGTCACTAATACTTAAGAGCACAAATATTTAAACTTAAATTAAATTTGAATTTAGAACCTACAGCATTGCATCATCGCAAGAGTATTGATAACAGTCAAGCAAACCTATATGAAATAATTAAAAGTTGCATACAAAAGAAGGCAATCTATTTCCCGGCAGGGTCTCACTCGTGAATCGCAGTAAAATCTAATAAATATTCCATAGGAACGAGAAGCACTTAATTTAACTGCAATCTACTCGAACCCATTACATTTTCAATGTATAACGTGCGCCAATAAAATATCACCGTATACTTCAGAAAGTTTTTCTGTACCGCAATAGTTTTGCGCCATTTTTTTTCACAAGTAGGTACATAGCTTTAATTACAGGTTTTAAAAATGTTGGTATTATATCGAAAACTAAAAAATCTACTTTAAACTTCACATTCATGAAATTATAATGAATGTTCTTGATGTTAACTAATCTAACGTAACACAAATATAACTTGGCAATTTGCCTTATACCAACTATATGTAATTTCCCAGGTAACGTTACACCGTCGGCCACGATTAAGGCACTCAATTTCCTCAGGGATCTCTTCACAGTAACTCAATCAAAGTACATTCACACACATAACTGGATAACTGTAACATTTATTGGCAATATCATTCATATGAATAACGTAACAATACCTTTTTGAGCTGTAATTACAATTGAGAAAGATATTATTTGTTGGTTCGGATAGAAAAGATTACAGTGAACTAGCTTTTGCCTGATACTGCCGCGCGGATTAAAAAAAACTTAATTAGTAGCCTATGTGTTCTTTCAGACTATGTCCTACATCTATGCCACATATCACGGAATTCCATTTACAATATAAGTAAGATATTCAATAGTCTTTCTACCTTTTGAGTACTAAAAGTGCTATTAAAGTGCTTAAGTGCTAAATTGACAATGTTTATCGAAATCTCCTTTCTTATTTAATTCAATACAAAAAAATCCTCCGATGGTGTAATAGGGTACCTGAAACAGTTTTACACCCGACAGACATGGAGATCTAAAAAATATTGTAATTATACGTTCATAACAGTTGCGTCAACCTGTAATAAAATATTCCTCGTAAATTCGAAAATTCACTGTTCAATTCGATTTGTGAAAATTCAGTACAACTGCATGATGTAAATTATTCAGTTCAATCAATGGTGGGCGGACTTTTTAAAACACTTTATAAAACGTATACGATAAATTTTGCGGTATTGCGTTTGTATTTATTCAGACACTTTTAGCTCTGTATTCATGCAAAGATAAATTACATGGGAATGATCAATTATTGCGTTTGTTATTTCATTGCTCGTAAAATAAAGACTATAAATTTTCAATTAAGATTGTAAATAGTATATGAAAATAGCTTGTTCATAGAACTAAAGATATTCGATAGACATTATTTACAACGATCTTTTCACAAGGAAGTTGTACACGAAGCAGATGTTAAACCAGCAATGTGATTAATCTTGTTTCGAATGAAACCGGTTTTAGACTACTAATAAATTCAAGATAAGCCGTCATTACAAATTGGATGGTAAATGTTTACCAGTACAAATGATTACTCGCCGGAAGTATTTTGTTTATTTTTAATCGTGCTTTTAATTTCTTTAAATGCATTAGTAATCATTTTTATTTCTTGTCAGATTTTATACCGAAAAAAAAAAATCATTCAAAAATTGTGGCATCTAATGGTGGTGGTGATTAAAACTCGAGTAAAAACGACACAGCACACATTTAATGAAAAATATATTTTAAGACTGAGGATTTTCAAAAGAAAAAGATGGGAACTCTACAAAGATGAGGAAAACAATGAAAAATTAACTAAATGCGTACTGCAATTTATAGTAGTATTATTCATAAATTCGTACCAAAACATGTTATTCGATAAAACTTAGAGATATGTAAATAAAACCAAAAAGTTTTGACTGGAATACGTAAACAAAGAATTATTAACTGCGCTATATTTTGTAAATATTGAATTTAAAATAGAAAACAGGAAACACATTAAGTGCTACGCGATAAATCTAAACGTAAAATCCTAAAGCTGTCGCGATAAAGTCTACGAGAACAGCTTCAAACAAAGCAGTATATGTAGTTCGGAATACAAGGTCGCTTTTTATCGTTAGTAGCAACTTTTATGTCGGTTTATATTTGAGAAATCTTTTTGATACCAGGTAAAATCCTTAAATTCCTATACACCTGTGTGTGATGATCCTGATGTAACCTAATCTAGTAACCTATTATTCCTAGAAATAATTTTTAGCAACAAAAAGTATATGTACTTGCTTTAAGACAATTAAATCCTAATATTATATTTGTAATTATTATTCACTTGCGCATTTTCTTAGGAAATACAAGAAAAATGTATCTTTTGAATATACCTATATTAAGCAGCTAATGTGAATAACATGTAATTCCTTTTAACAATAGAATAGAAAAACAACATAGTCAATTCGTATTTCAGCAAAAAAAAAACGAATGTTTCTTGCAAAAGTTGCGATGTAAAAATTGGTAGAATCGCAAATCTACCCAGGTCTGTCTGGTCATTGACTACGATGTTGCAATACTATGCGATTGATAGCACTCAATTATACCATTCTTTACAAACTAAATGTAAAATTTCCAGGCTTTGCATTTGGAAACTGAAAAACTCTATAGCGAAAACCTTTTCATGAAAGTTTGTGTAGGAAGATGAAAAAAAAAACGTGGATAACATCCATCAATACGAAATTACGTAATACAAACTTTCGCAATAAATATTCCGAACAATCGCATTGAGGAATAGTAATTTTGTAAAGAGGCCATTAAATTCGTTATATGTATCATATTATATTTCAATGGGCACGTCATGTTGGAATGGGGGAGTGACGTCATCATTGTATTCGACTACCCTTGCCACTCCAAGGTTGCGATCTTCCGACCTAATCCGTGTAGACAAAAGACGTAATCGTCAACAGAAAATATAGAGGTCATATTTATTCGACCTATCCTCTCGTGTTAATGTAGCGTGTGACCGCAAAGTTTGTTTTACAAATGTTTGGAATCAGTATTTATGTTATGCTAATGTTGACTTAGTTCTGTCATTAAGCAATGTTTATGTAAAGTCGTAAATCGATGTATGTTCTCTATTTTAGAGAATAAATGGTTAAGGGATCTTCAATCACTTATTATTATCAAAAAGAAATGGGTAACTTTAATTTTACTATTATACATTTTTCTATGGTATTTAAGTAAATAAAATAATCTCACCTGCTCCAAGACGTGATATGGGAATCGGTGGGCGACTAAGGCAGCGGCAATGGTGTGCGTAGTTGGAAGCAGGATGCCGAAGGTGGCAGCGACGGGTGCTCCGACGGGCAGGAGGGCGTAGGCTGCGAACACCGCCCACACGACATGCGTGGCGCCCTCCGCCGCCGACCCGGGACCCCAGCACGGAAGTGTGGCGGCCAGCGCGGCGCCCCCGCCTGCCAACGCCAGCCAGCAAGCGCGCGGGAGTCGCCGCTCTGGCGCCACGCCACCGGACCGACCACACCACCATGCCAGCCCCGCACACAGCACTGCGTGCACGCTCAGCACACCCACCTGGAGTCAATAAGAAACTTACTAGAAGAAATTAACTTATTTAAAAAGAGAAGAGAAGTCTTGTGCCCAGCGCATTCGCACACAAAATTATTTACGTAAGCTCAGAATGAAAATAAGTTCATTATTTGTAGAAAGCAATGGTAAATATAATAGTTTGAGAATATGTGCAAGTTATATTTATTTGAAAATAATCTACTTAATAATATTTTTAAAAATATCAGGACTTAATTATGCGTGACTTTAATGAGCGTAGGCCGTAATTTACCGCAGTTGAAAGCACAGGCTGTGCGAAAGTGAGGGTGACGCAATTTCATTACGTGACAAATTAGGACAGATGCAAGGATACTCGGACCTTAATATTCGTAATAATCAGTTGAACGTTCTCAGTTTCTTTGAACTAAATTCAAATATTAAAGGAATACGCTGCAATTTCATAAATCAAGATTGGAGATGATGAAACTTCAGTCGTCTTCTATTTTCATTAAATTTTTTAACAACCTTTTAAAATAATGTTCTATGTTATAAAAAACGTGTTAATAAAGCAACTGTTAAAGTGTTTGGCTTCCTTATTTCGTCTATTCACTTTCTTTCTATATTACCTTAGTCGATCATTTCTGGGATACATCGTTTCTTTACGAGAACATTTTTGCTATTGTCGTCTACCAACGACTTAGACTATAGATACCATTTACTGATACACAATATTATAAATTATTATAAATACGGTAAAATTATAGATCTTGATTAATAGCATAAAAAAACTCGAACTGTATTAATATGGAAACAGACATAAAATAAAAAATAATATCAGTCTTCTCATTATTAATTAAAAAGATAATGTATGAGGTCAAGCAAAAAATCGGGTAACAAAGTTAAAGAACATAATTTTAATTCGATATAATGTCCTGATTCTTTACCTCTGATGTAATAGAGCCTTCATTTTGAACATTTACAAAACAAAATCATAAAGAAAACCTAAATTGTTCATTAAAATTTCGTAATGACTTAACAAAGTATGCCGCCTTGTTATGTAATATTCAGAATTACGGCAAATGAACTAAGAATTTTTATACCTTTGTGTTATGACTATATAATACTATAATATTTTACATACCAATGACCTGTGACAAATGGGTATTATACATTGAAATATTTCAAACATAAATAAGCTCTTAAAGTCTTTAAAACTATGTGATGCTGATGGCAACACGACTAAAATTATTCATTTTATTAGCTAGGTAACACAAAATATATACCTAAGATTTCACATTGTCGGTCTATGAGCGGACTGTTTAAGATGCTTTGTCGCTAAATCAATTATTCCAAGTCAATTGATTCGGTAAAGATTACGCCTTCATACAAAATCAAATAACAAGCGTGTGGAGCATAAATGAATCAATGATCATTTGTATTTTCGGCTTTTTACCTTGTAGCCGAGAAAAGAAAATACACGAGATATAACTTCAGGAAAGTTTCCTTAGCTGTTCTCTACAATAACAACAGTACGATTGAAACGCACATTTATAAATTGTTTATCTAATCCCATGGAATTATTTATCGGTCAAAGTTCAAAGGAAAGCTGAACAATACAAACTAAACTTTGTTTTTCTTTTACAGAACACAGTCAAGATTGTTTGTCTTTAAAAATACGTACAATTCAAAGTTATCTAATAAACGTAAAAAAAAAACAATGTAAGTAGGTTATGTTTCTGTCTTTACAAGTGGGTGCCAAGTTAGGATTGCCCCACCTCAGTATCCCACTAAGGAGATTTAAAACTTTTTATACGTACCTGTGGTGCATTAGACCAGCCGCGAGTGGCGTCAGCGGCAGCGAGGGCAGCGGCTAGCAGTGCCCAGAGCGCGAGCGCGGAGCCGACGGAAGCGCGCTGCAGCTTGCACGCGTAGCGCGCGTACAGCTCCTCCAGCTCGGCCGACTCGAAGCGGCGCCGGGCCACCAGTCGCTCCCACCACCCTCGCCCCGACATCGCCTTCACCGCGTGGTCCATCTCACCGACCACCGCCCGCGCGCGCCGTCATGCCCACCAAACACGCCCGCCGCTTCATCTGTACGACAAAAGTTAACTCGTCAGTTAATAACAAGCGATTGGAAACTAATATGTTTAAGCAATAGTAAAGCTTATGCTACATCTAGGCACTAGGCCCATGCAGAAGTCTTTTCTAAGGAATATTTAAAGAAAAAGACGGATAATGGATTTCTGAACTCGTAGTTCCTTAATAAAATATTACTAATTTAATAATAATTTAAAGGTCAATTAAATATTTTCACACCACTATGTCAAAAACATAGTATCGTTAACTAGTCTTTGTTCACACAAGTTATTTCACAAACATCATAAACTTACATATTTGATGTTGAAATGACGTGACAAAAACTATCAAATATTTTTCGTTAGAGTAAAACAAACAGGAATAAAGAACGCCCACGGCCTCCAGACACGATTTCCGTTCAATGGCATAAAAAGATATTGGATGTATGAGAATTTATTCGTACGAAATATACATTTCTTTGTAACCCTTTCACGGTGAAATGACTGTCGGTTGAATATGTCAAACGTTGTCTGAACGCCCTTGTCTTCTTAACAAAGACTACACAACAGGCGTGCCCTTTTTGAGGAACGGTCAAAGCCGGCGGCGGTAATTATTCCTGCACACAATAGATTCATAAATGACAGGACTTAAATTAATGAAGTACTAAGCGTACAAGCCAAGAGATTTTTTGTGAGCACGGCACTCGTACGTATCAACTCGTTTTTATATTTTTTAATATTTTAATTGACTATAGCTACTCGGTGCCTTGGTTGACATGTAAAACTAACAATTATTTTATCAAGTCATCATTTTTAACTTGAATGTTTCTTCACAATGAAAAGAAAATGTAAATTTTTTAAAAAGAAGCAGTGACCTAAAGTTTTAACCTATAAGTAACAAAGGAGATGTTTCTAGACAACGAATTGTAAATAGACGATAGGTAATTTTAAGATATGTGTGAAGTCATCCATCCCGCACTTGGCCAGCGTGGTTGACTATAGCCTAGTCACCCGAAATATAGGGTAGGCTCCGAGCTCCATCGGTGGGGACGTATAGTGAGCTGATGATGATGATGAATTTTAAGAAAATTCAAAGAGCAAGATGGCTCTTTATTACAATCATATTTAGATATCGAGGACCTGTAGAAAAAGAATAAGTTTGCTGAACTGAAAGCCAACTTCCTGAAATAAAGAAAACTTTGGAAAACAAAATTTGGTTGACTAACAATTAGCTATAATAGCTTATATTATTTAAATTCAAAGTATGTAAAAATGGTACAACCACTATAAATAACGTAGGCGTAAAAAGCAATTCCGAAATAAAACGATTCGGCAATAAAAGACGATTCTTCGTCTTTATGTGATGACATTTAATAGAATAATGTCTTTTATGGAATGTGACCAAAATATTCGTATCACTATAATTTTTCTAATATAGTTTCTTCCAGTAAACTTTAATGTAATTGTACTGGAATGTATTTCAAATTGTAGACTTCAAATTAATGATACAATTTACTTCGTATGAGTATCAAGGGTACTTTTAAAAGCTCTGAGTGCTCTTGAAATTAATTAAAGTCAATTTATAAATATACAAAATATACACAAAATTACCTTTGTAATGAATACTACCTTTTAAGATAAACTTTTGTAGTTAATTTTTACAATCCTTAATAATCTCGGTAGCTGAAGGCAAATTGTAAAAGTACTTTTTTGTAAAAAAGTTTACAACTAAAATTCAAGAATCGAGCAAAAGAGTAAATATCAATGTAACTGCTAAAAACATTTGAACTTGCGAAATAAGATATTATGTTTTTAAACAGATGTTTAGCCAGTGTAAACCTACGCTAAATATTGTTCTATTCAGACTCTTCAAAGACTTATATGTCTGCATTGTCTGAACTCTGAACCGTTATTCTAGAAATATAAAGTACTAGAGAAATAATATTTTAATATCAAGAACTGTATTATTGTTAAATTTACCATCCAGTTCACAATCTGACGTAAATCTTAGGAAATGCAATAAAAATGTATGCATCAAAATACATTGTATAGACAGATTTTTTTTAAATCACATTTAGTAAGAATCATAGTTCGATTGACAAAGATAATTACAGTAATAAATCAACATTTTTACTAGACAAAGTGTTCTAAAAAGAGATAATATACTTTCATTAGACTTTCCAGTATAATAATAGATTTCGTCAACTTCGTTTAAACAATATACAATAGCAAACCAATTCAATAGTAACATTAGAGATAAACTCAACTCCGTACGGCTGATAAAAGGAACATTTTTATTTGTAATATAAGTATAAGAACCGTTTAAGAATTATTTTTCTAACCTACATAATTGAAGATACTTGTCATTTGACATTTGCGATAAACTTAAGATTTGAAAAACAACTTAAAATTTGTTTTGTTGCTTTCATTCTTCATGTCTTCATATTTATAAAACGGTACCTAAATTCATTTTTAATTCGGATTTCTTTATACTGAAACAGAGAAGTGCGCATTGTAATAAATAATCTGAATACTCTAACAGGATTAACATCGGGATTTAGAGATCGATCGTGATATAAATTAGAGATACAGGGGATGTGTCACTATAATCCGATTAGTATTGGTACATCAATCGCTACGGTATAATCCTGGATAGAATCGGAATCTGGAACAAATAAGCGATACGTGTGGCGGAACAAACGCTCGCGAAATGGTGGTTGAGCGGGGTGGGGGAGGAGCTCCGGAGGGGGTCACGGTCGTCGGGTCAATAAACTCCGCGAACACCGCGGTAGACGGATAAGCGCAGCAAGAGAGCACGGCGCCGCAAACCGCCGACCTAGCTCTTTGTATTCATGAAATTCAGAAAAAAATTCAAAACCTTTTTCATTGTTATTTTCTATGATCGCGGTCGCTCACATATATGTTTGTGTGCACACGAACAAAAAACATATTCTTTTTTTCTTTTTTGTATATCATAAGGTGGCAAACGAGCAAGAGGCCACCTGAAATCGCTGAAATAGCGAAGCGACCGCTGCCCATAGACATACGCAATTACATATGCGTTGCCTACTTTTAATCGCCGCAGGAGTGGATGCACAGAAAGAAAAAATTTTATCTTCCTATGCATCCCCTCATCCAGAAAGTCCACTACCACTTCTCATCCTTTCTTTATAAGAAAAAGGGTGGGAAGGGAAAGAGGACTAAATGAGGCCTTCGGTACGCACACCCACCAGACGAAGCGCGGAATTGCTTCCACTTCACGCCTGTCTTCTGCCAATTCGTGCGAAGATGTTAAAGCGGAAAATTCCTTTGTAAATTTAGGAAAGGATTCTTGTTAACCAAGGGCGAATCCTACTTTATAAGTAAACTATCATGGTGCGTACAGAAATAAAAACTGCACGTGCAAGCACACAATAAATCGAATTCATTACACCATCAAGGATCATTTTATAGGAAGCGGCAGTATTGCGAATGTCAAGAACATTTTAATTGTATAATAGCGTTAGGAGAAGCCGTCTAAACAAATGACCGGATTATTACGTAAATGCTTGTTTACATTCAGCTATCTGAATTGTAGGCTATTGTTAGCTGCCGAGAACTTACCCTTGATGATTTCCTATTGTCTGATAGGAAATATTCATGTTACAACAGAACAGAGATTTGAATACTGAAAGACGCCTATTGGTATTCCACAGATTAAAATAAATAGCAGTCTACAATCATTATGAATTGTACAACGATCACAATCTTTAGCTGTTCATAAAAGAGGTTTTGAAGATTTAAAATAATCGAAAACGTTGCTATTATTTATGATAGACTCGTAAGCATTCGCACAAGTTAAGCTCGCATTTGACATTAAAATTAATGAAATTTACATATACAAAAAATAAAATAAATATCAATATTTAATTACAATTAGAAACTAAACTTATATTTAAGTAATCCTTGTTTGTTTTCATTACATTCTGTCAAATATTTAATTATTCTCGCTACAATTTCATGACAGGAAATATTTACTAATACATACACTTGTATATATGTTTACAATAGTTACATTCCGCATGAACGCAATACAATTATGTTGTTGAATTATTAATCCCATTGTGACAACAGTAATTAATCTTATTTACACAACTCTCTATTCATTATAATAGATATTTAATAAAAAAATACCAGTTAATTACAAGATTTAGATTCAAAATAAACAAAAATGCAGACTACCTTTAACCCTTATAACACTTAAAAAAATTGCATCCGTAACATTATAACCGTGTAAATCAACTGCCTAAACACATACAATAAAATATATATTATAGTCTTTGTCTTTTTCAAAGAGACTGAAAGGGATGGGTCAAACAAGCGTTTTATCAATGGAAACCCACAGTTAGCTCGCATCGACTTCTCATAACCGGAGACTTTCACTGCCGTGACACTTGTATTAATCTCTTTCGGAACTCTACTACAAGAAGAACGACTTAAAGTATCCTAACCTGGTCTAGGAGTACGCACTTAATTTTCAAAGTACTCTAAAAAAGTAAAAATGAACTCTATGAAATTAACTCGTTATTTATTACGTCTACAATTTAATCATCTGTCATAAAATAACTCATAAACAACCACACTTATATCTATGAAAAAACACCACCAAACCACATCACGAGTATCGAAGTTGCGTGCTCTTATCGGATGCGTACTCTTAGACCAGGTAACCCTACATAAGCGTAACTAACGATGCACTGACAGCTGTCAAAACCAGCTATTCCAGTGGTAAACTAAATATGAATGCGATAAGCATATTTAATTCAGAGCACAATTGCAATTATTAAGTTCTAATACAGTATACAGTTGAGTCACATATGTATGAGTAATGTTATGTTTAAAATAAAGGTTAATCGCTTCTAGCGATTGAAGTGAACCGCGTAGTAAAATACGAATCTGTGACGGAACCCTTTGGATACGCTTTGATATAATTCTTCGTAAACCAGAACTGCAAGTGTACTGAAAAAACATAGATTT